GTCGTGTTCCACGCACGGTGTGGTGAGGGTGCTCCGTCGTGGGTGGGCCCGGAATCTTCTATGCGCGTGAACTTTGTGGGCCGCCTGTTCTTTTTTTTTTTGTTCGTTATTTCTGCTTGCACTTTTTTTCCTGCACTTGTTGCTACCTCTACTTATTTTTCTTGCCTTCTTCTTCCTTTTTTCCTCTTCCCCGCTGCCTCGCAGCTCACTGATCCCAGCGACTCTACTACTTCCACCATCACTAATACCGCGACGGATGGCAATGACGACGGTGCGGTGCCGTGCAGTGTGCGCTTTTGCGGTTCTTGCGCTGCTGTGCGGCTGCTTCTCGTCTGTGTGCGCAACGGCGGCAGCAGATGCGGATGCGGTGGTGCAAGTATCTTGTAACCGGACTGATGGTAATTTTCTTTGGCGTTTTGCTGGCGAGGAAAATTGGACATCGTGTATGATGGTAAGGAGTGGGCGCGTCATGCCTCTTCCGGATTGTGCTGTGTGCGAGGAAGCTGAAAAGGAATATGAAGATCGGAAGTGTAATGCAGCGTGTAACGCCAACCAGAGTGCTGTTGCGTTCACGCTGAAATATTTGATTTTGAGTGAAAGCAAAATTTGCACGAGGCTGTTGCCAACAACCAGGGTGGACGCTTCCATTGCCGAGAAACAAGATGTTTGCCCTCGAAGATACGGTGAGGAGGGAACGCCTCAAATTCTCCCCACTGTACCTGTTCGTGGTGGCACACCGCCAACGCCACCTGCTGTGGGCTCTTCAGCAGGGAAGGCGGCAAAAGATGTGGCGGAGACTGAAAAGCACGAAAACACAGATAACAAAGCCCAGGGCTCTGACGTCTCTCGCACTCAGCCGACGGATCATGCGCCAAAAGAAGAGAGTGAGGAGGATGCCGGCGCACAGGATTCCGAGCCGAAGGAGAAGGCCCCCAAAGCGGGCCGCGTTGCCTCTCGGGACTGGACGACGCTGATCACTGACAGCGGCATAATGTCGAGGCTGAAGGCAGATGGTGGCGTCATTGTGCGTGGGAATACGGCTCCCTTGCTGCTGCTGGTGCTGCTGGGTGTGTGGGGCGTTGGGGCACTTGCCTAAGCAGTAAAAGACATCAGGGGGTTGCGACGCCGAAGTGGATTACGCGTGCAACCCAAATTTTTTTTTTTGATGTCTGTGAGAAATCTTTTTTTGTTTTTTGTTTTTTGTTTTTGTTTTTCATTTTATTATTATTTACACAATTAATATCTTTTTTTTCTTTTGTTTTTGCTGTGTCCTCCTTCTGCACGGAGGCACGGGTTTCTCTCGTGACTGCTTGCGCTCTTCGCGTCCACACACGAGCGACAGCACTCTGCCGCTGTGACGCACTGATGAAAGGGGCCGCGGAGAGCAGCAGCAACACGCCGAAGACCTCCAGTGAAATATAAATGATGGGCGTGGACACGAGGAGGATCCCTTTGAAATGAAACAAACAATTTTTTTTCTTTTTTTTTTTGGGTTGGGGGAGGACATCATTAAGGACGGAATTCTTTTTTTCAGTATATTTTCAGTGGCACGCTGCTGCGTGGGCTGCGGCGCTGCATTAGGTATTGCCGGTCGTCTTTTTGTTTGTTTTTTATGTCCTGTCATTTTGTTGTGTGTGCTTGTCCGCCCTCATGTGTTTTGTTCTTCTCTCTCTTTGCGGTTTGAGGATAGGCAGACAAAACCACAGCGACTCGATATGTTGCAGTGCCGCGTTTGCTGATGCTGCTTTTCTTTTGTGGCCATGAAGAAGAGTGAGGCAGAAAGAGGGTGCGCCGTGGCTCCCTCTTTCTTTCTTTCCTTGCTGGTGTAGCGTGGTGTGCGGCCTGATGGTCCTCCATCTGCGGGGCACCGGCGGGGCGTAGTGGCGGTGCGTCGCCAGCAAGTACGTTGGTGGAGGTGTCGTGGTCGGGTAATGACAAAGAGTTGGGTTGGCGTGTTTGTGGCTAGAGGAAACAGACAAATTGCGCACACCGGCTTGAACCTTTT